ACTCATATCTTATTTTAAACATCCTTATCATTTTAAATACAGTTGACTAGTTTTATATGTTTGGGTAATATTTCGTGTTTATTTTTGAGAACTACTAATGAAATGTTGTGGTTGTTGTTGTTAAGCACCATTGAGTCAGCTCTGACTCAAGCACCTGCTATATGGTTTTTAAAGTGTGGTTGGAGGGTTTGAACCACCAACCTTTCAGTTAGCTGCCCAGTGTTAATCCTGCAGCATCACACCAAGACTCCAACGAAATGTAGAATGTCTCACATAATTTTTCAAGATTGCTATGAGGGGGAAATGCTGCTGGTGAACATCACAGGGAGGTAAATGTATCCCCCAACAAGTATCTAAACATATGGCAAATGCAAACTCCTTCCAGGAACAACAGCTGCCGCCATGCACCATTAAATGTCTTCTGGTGATTTCATATCCTTTAATAATTACTTTCTATATAGGGGGTGAGTTGTCTCCATTATGATAAGGACTGGTCTGCAAATCACAAGGTTTGCTGTTCAAGCCCACCAGCTGCTCCAGGGAGAAAGATGAGGCTTTCTGTTCCTGCCGAGTATTTCAGCAGAATCTGCTGCAGAGGTTTTTTATTTTATTCATTTGTTTATTTCTAAATGAACTGTTTCAAGCTTTGAGTACTTAGGGCTTTTGAGGGGAGAATTCAATTTTCAATTATGTTGGCTTTTTTATAAAGCTTGAGTTTTATAAGATTTAAATAAAATTTTACTACCAAAAAAAAAAAAATTTAAAGTCTCTAGAAGCCCTATTACAGCGTTGCTATGAGTTGGAACTGATTCCAAGTCACTTAACAACAACTTCCTATGCAATTACTTGATCCTGCCTTAGGTCTAGCATCAACAGAGATGTTATTTATTTTGAGGACATAATAAATAAGTATTTTTAATATGCCAAGAGGAAAAATATGAATCCAATAAAAATATAGCTTGAAAAATGAGGCGTTTCAAATTTTTCATAGAAAAATGGAATTAATTAAAAGATAATGGATTTTTTTCCATGAACTTTTTAAAATCCCTTCTTATGGGTCTAGATAAATATACGCCTATAAGGTCCTGGTGTGGCACTGTGGGATAAACACTTGACTGAAAGGTTGATTTGAAACAGAAAATTCGTGGTTCGAACTCACCAGCTGCTCCTTGGAAACCCTATGTATGGTTGCTATGAGTTGGAACTGACTTGATGGCACTTAACAATGACAACAGTATATGTTGTTGTGTTATTATGTGCCGTGGAGTCGGTTCCGATCCATAGTGGCCGTGTACAGTGTTTCTGAGGCTGTAAATCTTTACAGGAGCAGAAAGCCTCATCTTTCTCCTGTGGAACGACTGTAGTTTCAAACTGCTGACCCTGAAGATAGCAGCCCGATTCATAACCACTATACTACCAGAGCTCCATATATATATCTCCACTGTTGTCATTGTTATATATATTATATTTTATGTTTGGTGGTGGTTATGTGTCTTGGAGTTGGTTCCAACCCATAGCGTCCCTGTACTGGGTTTCTAAGGCTGTAAATCTTTACAGAAGCAGAAAAAACTCATCTTTCTTCCACGAAACAGCTGGTAGTTTCTAACTGCTGACCCTGGGGTTAGCAGCTTGATGCGTAACCACTACGCTACCAGAGATCCTTCATTTTATATATATGTATAAGGAGCTCTAGGAACTCTGGTAGCGTAGTGGTTACGAATCGGGCTGCGAGCCTCAAGGTCAGCAGTTCGAAACTACCAGCGGTTCCGCGGGAGAAAGATGAGGCGGTCTGCTCCCGTAAAAGATTTACAGCCTCGGAAACCCTGTGTAGGATCACTATGAGTCAGAACCGACTCCACGGCACTT